ACTAATTTAACTTGAAAAAGAAATTTAATTTGATTTTTTAAATAAACGATTTCACCGATTTACACGCGTTTTCCCTTGACCAAATTTTGACCGTATCACCCTTTATCCATGATTTCAGATTTAACAAGTAAATTATGCATTTGGTACGATACTTTAGTTAATAAGCTACGGTACGAAGTCAATGAGAGCGCTGATATGAAAGTTTGCACCCATTATTCTCAAAAACAAAAGAAGCGCTCCGACCGAAACCATTTTTATCGTCATCCGATAGGCCGAAGTGAATTCATTGGCGTTTCAATGCAGATTTAGGTGGAATGATATGTTTTGAGCCTGAAATTGAAACTTTAGACTTAAAGTCTCTTCTACAAAGTTGTTCCTTATAGTTATGCCCTCATTTTTATGACAATGAATTCTAGGGTGGTTCCTATTATCATTAAAATCAAAAATCTAACTTATTTGTTTGAATAAATTAAGGTATACATTCTTCGGCAAAGTTATAGCTGAGCTAATTTCAAGCAACTTTGTAGGAAACAACTTTTTTGTATCTCTTAAATTGGCCGATTTAGAGCTATTTTCTTGAATTGAGTTAGGGTGGCTCTAAAAAAACAGTTGTTTTGCTCTAGTTTTCTTATTTCGAATTTCTCAGCAAAGGTGTTTTCAAATAACTTTTAGATCTTAAAAAGGCGCAAATTTTTGCCTCACAAAGCTTGTCAATATCTCTCGCCGATCAAAAGTTATTGACGTTTTTATACTAAAAATATGCACTTTTCAAATGTTAATATCTCTGGTTGAGGAAACAAAAAAAAAATTTCTACGGCATTTGAAAGGACGTAGGTTATTCTCAATAATATGAAAAAATTGGAGATATTTTATTTTTTAAACTCGTATAAAATCAATTTGAATTTATTCATATTTTTTACTATATTCGGGTATATCTTTTTTATTAGAAGAGATACAGACAACAAATTTCGCTATCAAACATTCGTCTAAAAGTGTTTTAAAAGTCTCTAGAAAATGACTTTTATGAGAAATTTCAAATAAAAAAGTTATTGTCAAAAGATGGATTTCATAGGACCACTCTAATGACAAAATTAAATAAAATGTGCTAGTACATTTATTTCAATAGTTGGACATTTAGTGTCTTCGAAGAAGTTTTTTCCTTAAAAATTCCTTTCTTTTAGTGTTTGCAAACGTCAGGGTGGTCCTCAAATTAGGGAGTTTTTAAAACTAACTTTTTTGTTTTACAAAATAAAAACATGTGTTGTTTGAAAAAGTTGTATCTTAGTTTATTTCGAGCAACTTTGTCGAAATTTTTTTTCAATCTCTTAACGTTCTCATTTTAGAGTAATTTTTCGGAGTTGACCTAAGGTGATCCTGGAAAAAATAGTTTTTTAGCACTAACTTTTTTATTGGAAATTTCTCATAAATGTCATTTCTTGAGACTTTTAAAACTCTTTAAGACGAATGTTTTATAACAAAATTTGTTGTCTGTATCTCTTCTAATAAAAAAGATATACCTGAATATAGTAAAAAATATGAATAAATTCAAATTGATTTTATACGAGTTTAAAAAATCACGTACCTCCAATTTTTTCATATTATTGAGAATAACATACGTCCTTTCAAATGCCGTAGAAAAACTTTTTTTTTGTTTGCCCCAACCAGAGATATTAACATTTGAAAAGTGCATATTTTTAGTATAAAAACGTCAATAACTTTTGATCGGCGAAAGATATTGACAAGCTTTGTGAGGCAAAAATTTGTGCCTTTTTAAGATCTAAAAGTTATTTCAAGACACCTTTGCTGAGAAATTCGAAATAAGAAAACTAGAGCAAAACAACTGTTTTTTTAGAGCCACCCTAACTCAATTCTAGAAAATAGCTCTAAATCGGCCAATTTAAGGGATACAAAAAAGTTGTTTCCTACAAAGTTGCTTGAAATTAGCTCAGCTATAACTTTGTCGAAAAATGTATACACTCAGGTCTTTTTTTACACGGGGGATACGTACCGTGTAAAAAAAAACCTACGAGATTTTGATTTTTCGCATGCTTAAATGTTTTTAAAAAATCGGATTTTGATGCCATTTGTAATTAAAGCATGATATGGTCCATATAGACATATTTTAAAAATTTCTGTATTTACACCAAAAATTGTGATTTTTTTTTTAAGTATGCCATTCGATTGCCTATAGCTTGAGACGGATAATGTGATTGGAAGCAAGTCGATAGGTTGTATCGTTGTCGAGAAATAGTTAAAAACGTACCGTGTAAATCGTGGAAAACCGTGTAAAAAAACCGCGTAAAAAAAACCGTGTAAAAAAAGACTTCAGTGTACCTTAATTTATTCAAACAAATAAGTTAGATTTTTGATTTTAATGATACTAGGAACCACCCTAGAATTCATTGTGATTAAAAAGAAGGGCATAACTATAAGGAACAACTTTGTAGAAGAGACTTTAAGTCTAAAGTTTCAATTTCAGGCTCAAAACATATCATTCCACCTAAATCTGCATTCTGGACCACTGTGCAATGGCGTTTCAATGCGTTAGGCCGAGTTTAGAATCCGTAGGCCGAGTTTGGCGTCAAGAAGCAGTGTTAGATTTTTAACAATATCTCAACGATTGGTTTCTCTTTATCAAATCTTACGGTACGTACGGAAAGGTAAACACATTTGTAAACCATCAGTAATAATAACATTCCGTTTGGTGCTAAGCTTCGCTAGATTAAGAAAGAATTAGTGCGAGTTTTGCTTAATAGGCCGGAAATGGGGTAGTTAGCCCTATTAACCTTGTGGAAGAAACCGGAAGGATGTTCAGGTACTGCATCCAAGAAAATGGAGGACACATAGAGCAACTATTGAAATAAATTTATGAAAGAAACGAAGATCAGTGTTTCAATTTGACTAATCATTGAAAATACCCAATCAGTTCAATGAACTGATCTACATTGGCTTCGAGAAAAAAAAATAGAACATTTTCAATTTTCATAATGCGTTCAATTGAACCGTCCGCAGCATTGTTTTTCTTGTCACACCTTTCATACCGTCACTCCGCGTGGCGATCAAGTGTGCTATGCGCGCTGCAAACAGACGTCGACAGCAACGCACGGTGGGGCTGAATTCGTGTTTTACGCAACCGTTAATTAACACCCAGCATGATGTGTTTAGTACGAAATTGCGACAAAACTAAACAAGATAGAAAATTGGTGTCAATGAGAGAGTTGTAGAGCGCATCTTTTGGTTAGACAAAACAAAACACTTTATCACGTATTTTTTGGAATAATAAGGAAAAACCCGTAGGTAATACGAGTTGTATACTCGTTTATCCCTAAAATGTGTCTAAATGCAGCTTACTTAAAGTAGAAATGACACTATTAAGTAGGAAATTTACCAAGCTGTCCAATGGAGGCAGGATTTTTCTGCTAAATGGCATAGTTTTTTTTTTTGGTTGTTCGACTGGTTTTATGGAGATTTCGTTTTTATGGCTTTCTCAGTCTAGGGTAATTCAAACAGTTAGTTTTGCATTGCCCTAACTAACTGTTTGAATTACCCTAGACTGAGAAAGCCATAAAAACGAAATAGTTTTTTATTTCGAGCCAATTTATGGCAAGCATACACCAAAACAAAAAAAAATTCAATAACTCAGTAATCTTTGAGATTTGATCATATGCGTATAACATTTTTTTACTTCAAATATGATCTTCTATCGCCCCTTAAATTATTTGCACTAAGGAATCGAACACCCTGTATATTTTTCAGTGCTCTGAAAATAATAACATTGATCTGATCGATTGATTGATTGATCGAAATCAATCCAAGGAACTTCACTGAAAACGTCAACTCATTTGGATGCAATACCAGAGCGTTATTACTTTTTCCTGCTAGTTTTAATTTCTGGTCTATACACTTAGTTTTTTTCTACCGAGTTCGGCTGTGCAAATCTCGGCAAAAATAAGTTTCCCTGAGATCTCAGCAAAAGTGACATTATAACACATGAACACATGACATGAAGTTTTTTCTTGCCTTCATTTTACCGAATATTCATCAAACAGCACCAGTTTACGGATAACATACGCTTCAAAAGGTACGTCAATATCCAGAAAAAAAGAAGAAAAAGTAAATGCAAAATTTATTCAAATTCATCATAATGCAAAAGTTTTCCAAGAACATAAGACCTAACGGATTCCGGAATGACCCGCTCCGAGAATTTCGCTCATATTCTTCAATCAAACCGCACGCACCTGTACAGTTGGGGACAGCTCTTTGCATTGGACAACAGGTGACAAGGCTTTTCGGATCAAAGCAAACGAGAACGATCGAAGAAAACAAAACAAATTTAAAAACGAGTAGGAATCTATGAATGAAATAATACGTGACGAGAAACCATCATTCCGACTAGCAAAACCCATCGGAGGCGTTGATTGAAAATCCCACATCATATCGTCCACATGGAGAGTTGAATCACATTGGTGAGGACTCTGACAATTCTCGTTAATGTGCACGACAGTTGCCGTGTTTCTCATTGTTTCAACATGATTTATTCGAATCTTCGAGTCTAATTTCAAAGAGACATATGACCGCTCTGCATTCAGCTGTAGCGCTCTTTAGAATACCTAAAAAGGATGCTCAGAACATTGTTCGGTGAGAACTCAATTTGATCTGGAGCTGATAGGGTTTACAAACTTTGAAACGATCGCCTACGGCCGTAGCGTGACTCATGGAGAAAACTCGACTCACTGTGAAAGAGCAAGGTTCGACTTTCCCGCTCTCAATGAACTAAATCAAATAAACTGCTCTCGCCCACAGTGGAAATTTATCCCTTTGAGAATAATAAAAAAAATCTCCCGGTGTAGGCAAATCTCTCCGCTCTCAGCCCCAGACGAGCACCCCACGGTCAAAACTCTCACTCGCGCACCCAGTCGCGATTTCAAAAGGTATAGTAGGCATGTTACTTATTATAAAAGAAGGTAAACAGTCATTCTGTATTCCCATTTGTAGACTTACCTTGTTGGAGTAAACACGAACCGTGCGTGGCGGCAGCCCTGATGAGAGAGTGGCTCTGAAAAGTGCTAAGTGATCGTGAAGCGAGTTTTCAGTGAACATTTTGTTGCTACCTTCAGAGCGTTGATAAAAAATAATCATTCATTAGCCGGAGTGTGAGTGTACGAGCCTGGCCTGCTGTGATTTTAAATTGTGAAGCGTTTCCTAGAAACATTAAACATTACTGAGCCAGCGCATGCTGCAATTGGTGAGTGATCGGTCCAAGTTCTAACCTGTGCACCCAAATCAACACAATCACAATTGACGATTTAAAGCTCACATGTGTAAGCAGCGAATAAGTGTGGCAGCCTGAGAACTTCACAACACCTGTATTGCATGCATGTAACGATCAACAAACATTTGAAAGTCCCACGATTATTATTGTTATCAACGAGACTGGAGCCATTCAACAGAGTTTGCGCTTTAGAACCGGTTGAAGCTTTCCAAAGAAAAAAAAATCCGTTCTAGTTGGTGAGGCGTGCGTGTGTGAACTTGGCAATCTAGCAATCGACACAGCAAGGTGCCTGTCAGTTTCAACGCCCATAATAGCCACCATAAAGCTTCCAGCGGGTAGTGGTAGATTGATCCAGATATATTAGATCGTGTGCAAGTGGCTCAATAAGGCTCTGCCGCGCGCTCGGGGGTGAGATAAAAAAATAGTGACAACAGGAATTGAACGATTGCACACCATGAATATCAAGGTAAGCTCAACTCTTCGCTAATAACAGAAACATGAATTGAAGCCGGATTTGAGAGTTCGGGACAAGATTGATTGGATTTTGTAAACAGGATTGCTATTTTCGATCGTATTAGATGACCGGCAAGAAGGCGATGGTGATATTCGGCTCCTCTTATTTCCGCATGCCAAGATTGGCAAATTTGACAATACTGAAACAGTTCGCGAAGTCATTGCATGATCTACACGATTTGACTATTGAACAAGATTGCTAAAACCAATAAATGGTTGGAAACGGAAGAAATATGTGCAATTGAATCAAATAAATTCAGAAAAAGAAACTAATAAGCTGGTTTCAGAAAGCTTAAATTGATTATTGATTCGCAAAATTGTCCATAATACGTACTATTTCGGGGCCTCCCAAATGAAGTGTCTATAGAGGGACGCGAACATTAGTCATAGCATGGTTCAAATCACCAATTTCGTAAACTTTTATTTTTGTTTTATAGTGATTTATTTTTGATTTTTGCAATTCTTTTTTTCAAGAAGAAGTAATGCAAATAACAGGAGCCTCCAGTGCTCGTTTTTAATAATTCACATCGATCGAGAGCATCAATGTAAAGTGGTCCAGAATGGGAATTCAGCATAAAAAGTAGTCCTACAGCAATTGCCGTTATATTTAAAAGTTTGGTTTCTTCGGTAACATTTTTGTGTGCGAAAAGTCCCTTTTTTATAGCGGTAAGCTCCAACTCGTATTAACTTTTAATACCGACCCTGGATGATCTTCCAAATGTTTGCTTAGGATCGCATTGATTAACACCGACATCGACTTAAAAGCAGCCCAACATTCATGATTGGAATTTAATCCAAGGATAATATCGATTGGAGCTTACCACCATTAGTGGTTGTCAACAAATTAATTGTTCTTCAATAACTCATTTTTTTAATTTTGAAAATATGTAATCCAAATATGGATGTAATGTAAGCCTTATGCCCTTAATTTGGGCCCATACATAAATTCAGCATTCGACTAAATTTTCAATAGCGACCAAAAATATCCATTAGAACCGTCTCAATGACGCGTTCATCTAGATAAAATTGGTATATATCAGATTTTTAGCAATAGGCCCAATCTTAGATCCATTGGCCAACATTAGAGCCATGTTGAGCAAAGTGGTAGCTGAGTTAATTTCAAGCAACTTTGAGAAGAAAATATGTTTTCCATCTCTTGACGTTTTCATTTTAGGGTAATTTTTCAGAATCGAATTTTGTTGAAATTGTTCCTGAAGAATGTAGTTTTTAGCTCTAATTTTGTTGTTTTAAAATTGTCGTGAAAGTTGACTTCACGAAGCTTTAATGACTTGTTATTGGTGATTTCGGACCTGATTGAACTCTTGAGCTAAAAATATCTACACAGCAATATTTTCGCACTGGTCATAAAATTCAAATATTGAGTTTCTTAAAGTTTTCTAGAGCTCGAATTAATTATTGTAGCTTGCCAGTACTGTTCTAAAGCTGCTTTCAAATAAGTCGATTTTAAATCTTTGTGGCTTGTGCAAAAATATCGCTGTGCAATTATTTGTTGTAAGTCTCGTTGTCCATCACGACGCACTTCGGCTTCATCAGTCACTCCCGGTGTAGCTTCCTGGCGTGGGTTTTGGCCACCGTGCTTTGTTTGTCGTTCCGGTTCGGTGCTTTTCGGACCTTGTAGACGTGGATGCCGGCACGTTTCATCGTTTTGGACAAACCGCTTGAGGCTTGAATAGACTCAGCACCTTCCTGGCCTTCACCGGGTCAGCTGTCTTCGGTTTTCTGCCGCAGCCTGCTCACCGCTGAGTCGTCTGGGTCTCATTGAATGACTGGACTGGGAAATTGTCGAATGATGGATTCCCAGGTGTTTCCTGATCCACATGTGGGACGCAGTCGGATTTTCCACGACAGCGCTCAAGATTTTTCGCCGGATCTGCTCTTGCTCTGATACCATCTCGATAAACACTTAGTGATGTCCGATTGCTACTCGATTAATCGAGCTTATCGATGATCTGTTAAAATAATCGAATAATTTTTAATCGATTATTCAATGCGGTATTATCTGCTAATCGATTAATTGGCTTCGATTAATGCACAATTATTTATATTCTCATTGGACGTAGGAGTTGAATTTATTTTAGTGTTTATAGACTTTAACTATTTTGTTTGTATTACTACATACGTGAAGTTAACGATTTACATATTTGAAGGTACTAAGCGTCAAATAATAAGGCTGTTATTAAGTGGTCATTTTTATAGAGACTGGAACGCGCAAAAATTGGTCGACAAAAAAAAAGTTTCTTTCAGTCAAAATTCATATCACAAAAATCTTCTTATTTTGGTAGCTCAATTCATATATTAAAAGGAAAAAATGTTCGTTTATTCTTTTGGTTTGCCAAATCCGAACATTCGTGCCTTTCGCTTAACCCTTTCCATTAAATTTTGCACAGTGGTTTCGCCGACCTTATTCGCCGCCGAACGCCAGTTAGATTTAAACTGCTGCTCGTTTTCCATGGATTTATTATTTTTTTTTTTTGATATTCCGTTTGATCAAGGCTCAATACCGTTCGATAGGGCGGATTTTTGGGCTGTTGGGAGGGTTGTGGTCTTTGGGTACCACAACCACGTTGTTCGCAACGTATCACTCGATTGCCTTTTTTCCCATAGTGGCAGCTCGCCAAGACCGGCCAGAACAGCACAGGTCTATTATGTTGCTTTAGGAATGGTAGGCACTCCTGGACGTAGATCTATTGATTGATGGTTCCCGAAGTAATGAAAATGCCGCTTTTGACGTAGGACTACGTCTTTAATTTATCTACTGGGGTCACATTAAAAAAAAAATCTGAATTCAGACATGTAACGAAAAATCCCAAACACGGACGCAACGATAGAGCGCAAATCGAACACACGACACATTGCGCATGCTCACATGAGCTAGTTCAATGCTCGGTTGACCAATGAAAGGAAGGTAGGAGAAAAGCAGCGATAGTAAAAACGCTTGCCATATCGGTTTCTTCGTCATTTGCTTTCGAGTAACGGACGGATAAGCGTCGAACACGACGTATGAGTGGAACAGCACGCATCGCTCCAATACGAAGCGGACGACGACGACGAAAACACCCACATCTACCGGAGGAAAGGCTTCCTGCAATATGCAGCATGACTAGGCCGCCATAATCCGGTTGACATCAACTTGCACTGGTGTGGCCACCATTTGAAAAATAACCGGCCCTTTTCAGGGCCACCAATTCAAAAACGGAAAGAGTTAAGAACTAAATGATCAACATATTTGTTCCGTCCATTAGCGGTCCTACGTCAAGCTTTCGTTCGTTCCCCTAGGCACAGACCCTCATACTTTTTAGACCACACGTGCATATGGCCTGCCAGACGAGATATTTTTTCGGGAACTTCGATAGTTTGATGGTTTTGAAAATTTCAGCTACCTTCCCTTTTCCTGATGCGGTATAAAACACCTGCCCCGGAAGCAGCTGGAAATCCGCCTTCACATAAGTTTCGTCGTCCATGACGACACAGTCGAACTTTGTGAACAGATTCGTATACAGCTTTCAGGACCGCTGCTTTGCCGACGTGTTTTGTTTGTAATCTCGGTTCGCCACCTTCACCTTCTTAAACGTCGACAACCCGACTCGTTTCTTGGCCCACTGCACAGTAGTATGGGAGACATTGAGCTTGCCAGCGCCGTCCCGGTTGGAGAGGTTATTGCCAATTCACAGAAATCTTAGCATGCATTGAAATTTCAGAAAGAAGAAGAAGAAACAACCGCAGCTGTCAACTATTTCAAAAATGTATAGACACACATTTCCGTAATAGAAATGTAGACTACAAAAATCACACTGGGAATTTAAATATCATTAACCGAAGGCTCAATTGAAGCCGGAATGAACTGGGTGATGTTTTCGACGTGATTGACTGGATTATCAGTAGATTATCACTCAGGCTGTGCCGGAAGCGATCTACGAAACAACTGTGAAGAGGGGTGCCACCATGGAATGAAGTAGTATAGAGGCCCTTAGGTTGGTCGGAGGATCATGTACGTTTGCGCTGGCAGGCAGTTTTCAGTTACTTTTCAATTAAAATAGCTTCAGTTTTCTACACTTTATCTTGTGAACCTCCATCTAACTTGTTATTGATTTGTAATGTTTTATGCATTGTCATGCAAACAAGGTCCTCAAGGAAAGATTTTGGTTCAGTGCTCGAAATTCCCACAGCAGCTGTCAGTGGCGGTTGTCAATTTCGGTTGTCAAATATGACGCCAAATGCTAATTTTTCGCTAAATAGGCAATAGGATTCCGCTTATATTTCACCGCCACCTTCTTCGTCTTCGCTGCCACGTCCGGACTACGATTGCCACCGCTTCCAGGCTTCCTCTAGGGCTTCCTGGCGGTCGACAGATGCTCCCCGAACACTTTTAAAATGAGTGCCACGGTCGATTTGGCCACATCCAGCAATTTTGCCAATTTGGTGTGTGAGAACGTCGGATTCTCTTGCTGCGCGAGCAAAATTTTGACACGCTGCTCCTCTTGCTTGGACGTCATTTTGAAAACTGGAGAGCAAACGGTGAAAACTCATCATAGCAACCATTGTATATACACTCAACTTCCAAATGCAGCATTTCAGGTTTTTTCTTATGCATTTTGAACAGAAATACACCAATTTGAAGTTGACCAATTTTTGCGCGTTCCAGACTTTACAATAGATGAGGAGCTAAAAGTAAAGAGTTGATAATTCCGTTAGAGTACGGCAGTGTGAAAATTGTATAAGTCTTCTAAGTCTTCAAATAACAAAGATATAGTGAGTATTGTAAAATTTAACTGAAATTTACTTTTTTAGTACTATTTTCCATACAAACGACAAATCCTTTATTTTTAATTCCGTGTATCTTTTAAGTTGGATAATTTGCAAGTTTTAAGTAAGAGTTCTCAATGTTTTGGGTCGATACAAGCGAAATATTAGCCTAAATAGTAAAAATTACCA